GTAACCAATATTTGCATGAGGAGAGCACCTTCCTGCGTTGCGAATACAAAGTAAATTTCCAATTATAAATTATAATACCTCTGCTATTGTGTTTTGAGTTAGTCCATATACTTTAAGATTTGATTGTATATAACCTGTAAACTTATTAAAAATGTAAACATAAATTAAAATGTATACCGTGTAACAATAATAATTTAAATATTTAATATTTCTAGCAAGGGATAAGAAATTTTAGACTTATAGTTCCGATATTAGTTATCAGTCTTTTATTTTAGTTAGGATTATAGTAGCTATATGGATGTTCACTATTAAATTTCATTAATCATGCCATATTTATCATATGTAAATTTGTCTATAAATAAAGGGCCTTTTCGCCCACTGCAACAGCAGATTCCAATCGTGGAATTTCCAAAAGTCATTGTCCCTTATATCTTTAATGATCCCTTCCCCGACAATCTACTAAGTTCGATAGTAGAGTCGTCATTGTTAACTTGATTACTGTATTACCCCCCCCCCCCGAGAGTTGTATCCTGACGTATTGTGGATATATTTCCTTGTGTGTTGGTTCCTGTGTTTGAGTATTAGTGGATCGATTATCATCACATGATATCGGTTGAAAGATGCCGAAGCCTTAGAACCATTCCACTCGCCTAAATCTAAACGTCTCTTTCGATAGATTATCTTGGTTTTGTTTGATTGATTTTGCGTATTCCCGGCAAACCATTTTCCCCGTGTAACAGTACGTCGGACCAATTTACCTGCAGACCGGTCTAGCTCGAGATCGGACAAAATTAATAAGAATAGCTGCATGTAGGAATAATGATAAGAAAACAAATTAGAAAGGGACGAATGATAAAAATAGAAATGAGGTGGGGCCATGGAAGAACATTCGGAAGTAGGATTAAGCAACAATTATAGACGACACCAAATATTATAATACAGGGACAGAAACAAAGAAGTGATGCAACATTAGGGCGCAGAAATATTACAACAGTAACAAATTAAGAATTAATCTTATAAATACGTGTAATTCAATGGAGTTTCATTAAATTGAATTAGAACAACTCCATAGTTTCGAATATAACGATGAATCTTTTTAAATTCCTTGCCGTTACTATTTTTATGGTAAATGATTCTAGTCTTTATTTGATTTTATATCCATAACAAAAACTAATGGCTTTATATATAGGTGTGTTTTTTAAAAGATAACCTTAATGCCTACCCTGCTACTCGTGTTTTACCATTATTTATCGAAGTAACACTCTATAAAGACGATGGTTTTCATGGAGCTTCACAGACATTTCAATTAAATCCTCTTGAATGCTTCAATGTACCCCGAGAGTGGGCAACTATTACCAGTTCGGTCATAATCAAAGATGGTCATTGTGTAACTTTTTTCCGTGAAACGACTTGCAGAGGTCGATCTGTGTGTGCTTGCGGACAAATTGATTTTTATGCAACAGCACGTTCTTTTCTTAATGACCATATCCGATCAATCAGACCAGAAAATGTGAATAGTTTAGTTAAGACTTGTCCCTAATAATCCTATCCCTTAAACTGTTTTTTAGGTGATTAATCAAGTTATCAAATTATATTGGGTTATAGTCTATATCATAGTAGATTTACAGTCAAATTGACAGTTTAAGGGATATAATTCGATATTTATTTTATTATTTTTTTGTTTTTATTTGCACTTAATATTACTTTTCAACATTCTAATTTCTATAAACAAAAAAGAATAATTGTTATTAAGCCTTTATGCTTTGCTTCAGCGATAAATTAGTCCAAATGTATCTAATAATAAAATTTCACTAGTTATTATAAAAATTTTTAAATTTTTTAAAACTTCTAGCGAAGGTTTCCCAATCTAAGCTGGCCAAACATCGAAAAAAATAAGCTAAAATCGTGAAAAATGATCTATTTTAAACTTTAAATGAAGATTTCTCAACAACCACAAGTACAAATTTGATGAAATTTTTTTCACTTTAATTCTATGAATCTATAGAATTAAAATAAGATTTTTATCGAATTTGTACAGATAGTTGTTGGAAAAGAATCTATAGAATATATATATATATTAATCAAAGTTAACGGTGTTGCTGAGAAATATTTATTAAAATTCAAAACAAAATTTGGTCGCAGTTTTTTCTAAAAGGTACTAGAATTTTGAGCGAAGCTTAATGACACTTACCTAACCAAATTTAATCAAGTTTTTTATATTTTAATTCTTTAGATTCATAGAATTAAAATAAAAAAAAATTGATCGAATTTGGTTACCGTATTGGTGCGTAATAACGCACATGCGTGTTATTTTGAAACACGTCTTTTTTTGAAAATTGCATTTTGACTCGAAATAACGCACATGTGTGTCCCGAAATAACGCGCACCTTTATATAAGTAGATCATATATTGAATTGACATCTCCAAATTTGTTAGAATATCGCGCATGCGCGTCCCGAAATAATGTGCAGGGTCTCAAAATAACGCACAGGTGCGCGTTATTACAGTAAGTGTCGAGTAATATTTGTTCAAAATTTCAGTACCTATTAAAAAAAATGCTTTATATAACAACAATATTAGAATTTTATTTGGTTTTACCCCAAAATCCTGACACCCAAAATCCCGACACCCAAAATCCTGACATCAAAATCCTGACAATTTTCATGCATTGCCATGCACAATATTTTTTCAGATCATGTTTTTATTTATGCTCAATTTTTATTTTATTTTATTTATTTATAGCTTCAGCTTTTTTTTTTTGATAATACTTGATTTTATTTATTAATTTATTTCAACAATATATTGACGAACTTTTAATTTTTTGATAACAATTCAATGATATTTAAGCATTTTTGTGTTCATAATGAATCTTTTGATGATATTTTTCAACAATTATACATATAAGGGAGGGGGGTATTATGACGCAGGTGGGTATTATGACGCACTCATGTTTTTGATGATATCTCATGATACACTGATTAGAATTGAGTAATTTTGGTATCATACGATTCCTCTTACTGAGACAAATCAAATGATATTAAATTCGTTTTATTTGATGCAATAAAATTCGAGTTGCAACAAAAAAAAATAAAATTACTAATTTTTTGGCACCGACTCATAAGAATCTGATACGACCTGACTAATCAGGTTAGTACTTACATGCTGGTGCAATTATTAATTAAATTTATTTACATAAATACTAAACTAAATTAAGTAATGAATTAATTTCTAATTGAAGGTTTAGGATCAAGACGACGGAAAATTCTGTTATACACACTAAGTTCCTCATTTATATGAGAACTATAGCAGTCTTCATAAAATTTTTTAAAGCTAACATTAAATGTTTCAAATTCTTCTAGTGTAAAAAACATTTCAATGAATTTACACATTTCGAACTCTTTAATTTTAAATCGATATTTATTTTCTTGATCAAAAACATCATCTGCAGTTTTACTAAATCTTTTTTCCATTAAAAGAATATATTCCATCTTAGCTAGATCTCTAAAATAATAAGTAACTTCAGCAAAATATACAATAAAATCTTTAATTTGATTGTATTGGTCTATATGAGCACAATGAATGTCAATTGGCTCAGCGATTGCATTCGTAAGAACGAGTTTTAAAAAATAAAGAATCGTGTTTTTAAATCTCTCATAAAGATACGGGAGAACATAGTTTATTTTTTCTTTAAATTCACTTGAAGTATAAGTGTTTCTCATTAAATCGTTGCAAGTGTTTAAAACGGAATCGTTTAGATTTTTGCTTTGATGATACATGTTTTGAAGTTTTTTTTTATTGAAATAAGCATCATATAAAATATTTATTTTATATTTGAGAAATACTGTATCTTTGTTTGCAAATTTAGCTAAAGTAATTTTTTAATTAAGGCTTTTATTTTAATTATATTCAAAAAATGGCTTTGTTTAATTGCAAATTTTGCAATTGTTTGCCTTATTGCATACGGACTTAACCACAATCACTTAGAATTATAATTACATACGATCATGATCATAATTGCATACAAATATAATCACGATTGTAATTGTATACAAATATGATCACAATTGTAATTGTATACAAATTAGTTTGTGATCTGAAACCCAAAACCTTTCGAAATTTTATTGACGGATTGAATAAAGAACTATAAATAACTGTAATGAAATAAAGAAAAATCAAAAGAAAAAATTGCATATACAAAAAACAAAGAATCATGGCCAAATCAGTGTTAAAAAAAAAAACAAAAAAAAAATAAAATATAGATATTCATCTTTTCTAACATATTTACCAAAACGATAACAACATCCAAGAATGATTTTAACCGTAGAACTTACCTAATTATTCAAACACTATTTAATAATATTAATAGGATTTTTTTCTTTTTTATTAGAAATTAATCCAACTTGTTAAAGACTAATTCTGAATCAGAACAATGGATTAAAGCTCTGCTTTTAGTATAGTATTAGAATTTTGAAAAAGGTTTCAGTTTCTAATACAAATACGATTACAATTATAGCTGCATGCAATCACAACCACAATCGTGATTGCATACAATCACAATCACGATCGTAATTGCATACAATCATGACCACGATCGTGATTGCATACAATCGTAAAACATAATTATGATCGTGTTTGTAAATAACGAACTACTGTATCAACCTAAAAAATATATAAAGTGCATTAAAAATTTAATTTCATAATTTAAAAAAAACAAATAAAAAGCAAATAAATAAATAAAATTAAAAAACCAAAATGTCAAGTAACAATTCTCCAGAAATTGTAACTAAAAATTCTAAAAATAGTATAAAATCAGCTCTTAATCTTCTTAATGAACCCAACCCACCTAGTATACAAGCAGCTGCATTAAATTTTGGTCTTGCAAAGGCAACTCTAAGACATGTATTTAAAAATAATAGTGTATCTGAAAATTCTGGCCCTGCAACAGTTTTGAGTTACCATGAAGAAGAACAATTAGTAGGTTATTGCATGAATATGCAAAGACTAGGATTTGGTCTTACACGGTCTGGGGTAAACCATTGCGTGATAAATATTGTAAACCATGATGGCCATAATCACCCTTTTAATGAAAGTAGACCTGTTAAGGCTTGGTGGAAACGTTTTATAAAAGACTATCCCAACCTATCTTTTCAAGTACCTCAAGCTTTAACTGAAGCACGTGCTCAAAAATCCAATCCAACTATTATTAAAGATCATTTTAATAAATTAAATAAGATAATTCAAGATAATTCACTTACCCCGGATCATATCTGGAATATGGATGAAACCAGCTTCGTGATAGCTCCCAAGGTTCAAAAGGTTATTGCCATCAAAGGCTCCCACCAAATTCATAAGGTTGCTTATGGTAACTCACACGATCACATTTCTGTTGCACTGACGATTTTGGCTTCTAGTGATTATATTCCTCCATTAATTATATACAAAGACGTTCGTGCAATTCCTGGTTTGTTAAATGGTGCTCCATCTAGTATAGTTATGGGTTTTACCAACTCGGGTTATATGCATGAAGAACTTTTCCAAATGTATATAGAACATTTTATAAGTTCAATTCCTCCTCATCGTCTTGTTCTTTTAATGCTTGATAGCCATAGCAGCCATATAAATTATATGAGCATTAGTTATTGTTATGAAAATGGAGTTTTACTATATACACTTCTACCCCATACAACGCATATTCTTCAACCATCTGAACTTCCTTTCGCCAAACTTAAAACCGAATATAGTAAAACTTGCGACGAACTTCATCTTGTAACTGGTGGCAAGTTGGTGACTAAGCATACATTTGCTAAAATGCTTGGTCCCACATTTATTAAAACTTATACTCCTGCAACGATAGCTAATGAATTCAGAGCAACAGGAATTTGGCCTTTTAACCCTAATGCCATTAGCCCCCATCATCTCGCTCCTTCTTTATCTACTGAACGAATTTATATATTACCTTCATTCTCTCAACAAAATGATAATCCTTCTATACTATCTTCAACATCAACACCATCTTCTTTAATATCTTCTTCTTCATTGTTTTCTTCTTCTCCTTCATCATCTTCTTTTTCTTCATTGTCTTCATCATCATCATCTTTCTCCTCTTTATCGTCTTCTTTCTCTTCATCGTCTTCTTCTTCCTCATTATCATCATTCTCTTTATTATTATCTTCTTCTTCTTCATCTTCTTCTTTCTCTTCATTGTCTTCTTTACCATCTTCAAGTCGTGCTAGTACTAATAAGAAGATTGAATTGTTAGAAGCAGAAATTTATGCTTTAAGAAAAGAGAATATGCTACTAAAAGAAGAACTTGAAACATTTAAAAATCCCGGTACCTGTGTATTAAAGATAGCTCTTAAGTATCCTTCTCGAGCTCCAACACAGACAAATAAATCAGAGTCTGATCAGCCGAAGAAAAGAAAAAACTTCCCCTTCGCCCGACTTCTTACTAATGAAGAATCTCTTCAAATGTTAAAAGAAATAGACGAGTCGGCAAAGAGCAAAGCAGAAGGTATTAAACAAAGAAAAGAAGTAGCAGCT